TATTATTTTTTAATTTCAATCTGTGTCCTTATATTTTAGGTGTATCTCTTATGAATCAAACAGTATGTAATAGAATCATTTTGTTTTTCTTTACATTTATTCTCTGTCTTTTAACAGGGATATTTAATCTGTTCACTCTTGTGATTACTAATGTAAATAAATTTATTTTCACCACCTTATTTTACTATTTTTATGTACCATGCTGTGTATTTGCTTTTATTAGCTATGTCTAATCTGCTGTTTGACTTATTAATTTCATGACTATATTTTTTCCCTTTAAAAATGTAATTCTCTTTCAAATTAATTTTGTTTTCAGTACTATCTTATTCTTTCAATGGTACTATTCCTTCTTGTATCACTTTAATAATTTCTAATGTATATATTTCAGATTCCACTTAGGTTTACACTTATTTAGTTAGTCCCCAAGTACCTGTTCACCCTTACATTGTACTTGCTTACCCTCCTGCTTGGTATTTTATTTCCTCACATGGTTGGGACTCTTACTATGAGCTCATCTTCAGCAGGGGTTGTTTTTGCCTCTGGGAGTCCATGTGCCCTTGGATTGTAGATTCTTACAGCACTGCTTTGCATTTTTTTTCTGTAATCCAAGGAATTGTTGGTCTTGAACTCAAGTTTTTAATTTTAATTTCTCTAATGTTACTTTCAACCCATCCCAGTGATAAATAAACTAAATGCTTGCACTTGCTCTTAGCATAGGACAGGGTTTTGATGACTGATACACAAGTGTTTATTTCTTTTCAGAAAGCCCAAGTGAGTCCTCAAGGTACTTTGCTGTTGCTCTGGTGGGCATAGTGCATCTAGTTCTCTGTGGATTAGAAAGCTTCTTAAGGTGTCCAGTTTTGCCCAGTTCCCTTACCTTGCCCAAGCCCAAGTTGGTGTCTTCTGTCCCAGGTGGGTGTTGACACTCCAGCCCCTAGTCCTTGTTCTCGGGCTGAAACCTACCCCTCTTTGAACACAGCATCAACTCCAGGAGTTCTTGTGTTGTTTCAGCACTTGAAGATATCCCTTTCCTTTTTCTTTACAGCACTATACATGAAACTTTTTTTTGCTTTAGATTATCTAATTTGTCTGTGTATTTTAAGCAGATGTGTGGTCTACATTGACTCAGCCTGCCATAAACTTGATTCATCTTTGTACTTCTTAGCCCAGAAGAGTAACTGGTCCATACTAGATGCTGGATGATTGACTGACTGACTAACTGACTGACTGACTGACTGACTGACTGACTAAAATAATGAATGAGTGAATGAAAATATTTCACCTCCAAAAGCAGATGGAAGCAAAGTCCCAGAGAATAACACTGCCTTCTGTAGGGGCACTGGAGCAAGCAGAATTTACTTTTCTATGAGGACATAAGTGAAGAGCATTCCCAGGAAACAAAATGTAGAGAGAATAGGACTTCTTACATGCTTTTTCTTTAAGTCCTGGAACAAGGGGACTGCTCCTTGATGTCTGAAAGTAGACTGAGGAATGAGTTCCTGTTCTCTTTGCTGGTGGCTCTACAGAGCATCCTTACCATGGGGAAATATTAAAGAATTATATAGAACAAGACATTGGTCCTGCCTATTTCCCCCTCTCCCGTTTTAAGAAAAGTGTGCCTTTGATGAGATATAGCTGTGAGCTCTTATTTTACATTTTACGTCAACCACCTTTGTTAAAAGCTGGTTATTGATGCTGTGCCCTGTTTTAATTCACACTTCTCTGCTAATAAATTACAGCGTTTATTCATTAATCAGGCGTTCTGACAGGGTCAATAACTGCTTTTTTGGTTTTGTGAGGGGCTGCATGTTATCAAGCAAAGAATAATACTCGGAGCTCACTTTAAAACAGTGTGACTTTCCCAGGCTGGTGGACTTCTGGAGCAATAAACATCTAGTGGGGATTTCAAATGGTGTTTTTTAAAATATATTTAGTTGATGGGATTTTCTCACTGAACACTTCATTAGCAGGGCTCAACATTAGTGAAGTGTGGACAGGTGTGCCTCTATTTAAGAAAAAACAGAAACATCAAAATGTAATTATTCCCATCACGTACAAATAACCGCATTTACCTAAAAGTAGTATTAAATCATGCACTTTTTTCATTCATATTAAGTGTTTACAAACAATGTCTTCTTGGTAGTGTGGTTTCAGAGCAAAGAAACTTAAAGCCAAAATGTTTGGAGCGCTACTATATGAAAATGAATCCAAAATTTAGAGTGAATATCTCTATAATTATAATGTGAGTCAAGAAGAAAATATTTTATAAACAAAAGCTGAGTTTATATTACAAATTTCCTGAACCATCTTTTACATAGTATTTTAAGCTTGTACATCCACGTCCCCATACATGTGCACACACATTTTCAGTACCCCTCAGCCTTTCTAATTTGTTACAACACATTCAGATGTTATAAAGTGTTACAAAAATTAAAACTTCTCCTTTTAGCAAGGGGAAGAAACAGACATGGCAGTGTTTAATTGAAGAGTTACAGTTTGAGTAGTTAAGTTTACCACATATAATGATGGTAACAGGTTTCAGTGATCTTTTTTATGACAGATGTACCAACATTTAATTGTTTTTCATCAAGGGTGGAGAGAAAAGACACTTCTGTAGGTTTTTCAGTTCTCCTATGTGTCACTTAGCTGTCCTCACCATTGTCTGAGCGCCTTTCTCTCATCCTTTTTGCTGCAATGAGTTGTGTCATTCCCTCATGATCAGCACTTTTGTTGTCTTTGTTTTTTGCTGTACCTCAGAAGTCCATCTTTTCTTTCATCTCCTTCCCATTCATGCATGAGGGAACAGTTGTGCCCTGTTGTGGGGATGTTCCGCTGGGTTTCAAACAGTAGGGTTTCTTTTTCTTCTCTTCTAAGTAGTACAATAGGGCTGAATGTCTGTTGCAGAATGCACACACTAATATGCCAGGTTATTTGGTTTCTAAGAAGTCAATAAAAATACTACATTTAGGCTCAGTCCTTGGCTTGCCTTTTCCCTGTTTGCCTTTCACGTCTTTGGTTATAAATCTGTTTGTTTGTTTCTAATTGTAAAATATAATCTTCCATATTAAATCGAAGCGTGGAATCAACAAACACTTAGAGAAAAACGTTCCTGGCGGTGGAGTATTTTCACACTAGCAGATTTGGCAGTCTGCACCCTCCCTCCATAAAAGCCTCCAAACAGCCGCCAGAGCTAATTAATGGCAGCTACAACTCAGAGAGGATGAGAAACAGAATGGATTCCGAGTTGATCTTGGCAAAACTTTCCACTGTTGGAAACTACTATATCTCTGCATTTAGAGGTATCCAGCTGTGACTCTTTTTGTCCGGATCACCTTGCTTGACTGTTGTTTGTGGGAGGAGATGAGTGTGAGCATGAGTGTACCTACTTACAAACACGGACCCAAAGGCTGTCCCAGCAGTAAAAGACTAACAACATAAAAAGCTGGGGGTGTCTTAAGATACTTTGTTCTCATATTCAGGAAAAATCTTCAAAATCCTCCCTAATGAGGTCATAAAGGAAAAATGGAACAAGTGTTCCTTGTGTATCTCACTGGGGCATGCCATCAGGGTCACTTGCCACCAGTATCCTATTTAAAAAGGGATTGGGGTCGTTCAATCAAGCACTGCATTAAGAGAGAGACTTTGATTAATTCCTTCTCTTTCCTTTTGTGCCACAGATAATTTCAGTAAATTTGTGATACTTTCTGCTTAGCCATTGCTGAGGCTTAAAGTTCTTGATGCGTCATGCTGGGTATTAGCATTTATCGGGCCTACTTGGCTATGGTGAAGAGGAGTGTATGCTGCAGACAGCGCTCTAATCTTTGACAAGCAGAGCTGGTCTTTAAACATGACTGTTATCTGAGATCTTTGCCTACAGAAGAGCCCACTCTCAGGTTGGTGGCAGAGAAAATCTTGGTGAGAAAGAAGGAAAGACATAACAGTAAGTAAGATGGTGATTTACTGTAGTTAACTTTTTTAAAGGTTCTGAATCTGCCTCTTACTCAGAAATGCACAGCTTGGGTAAATTTCAGGAAGGCTCTCAAATGAAACAAAAGCAAGGAAAGGACAAGTGATGGCTACCAATGTGTGCTTTCACAGGGGCTGCTGAGGGAGAGCTGGAGATTGGCCCCGTTATGGCCAGGATCAGGTAGGAAACTGGATTCTGCTGTCATTTGTTTTCTTTTATTTACAACTTTGTTGAGAAGCCATCAGAGATATGAATGGACATTTTAGAACTATGCTGTAGAAACCCAGTAGTGAATGTTAACTCTTGGTAGTTTTGATCTGGAATCAGGTTAGGATATATTTAAAGCCCTTAGTTAAAAATCTCAGTTGCATACTTGTAGTTTACAAGCTGATTTTAGGCAGGTATATGATGTTTACTTTATTGCAAGTGGAAGGTCTGTTAGGTATCTTTATTTTTAGGTGCCATTGAAAGTTGGGTTTGGGTTCTGGTGGACTGGGACAGCTTGCAGGGTGGCATTGTGGTGGTGTGTAAATCCCCTTTCTCTGGTAGTTTACTCTCTGGATACCCTGGCTCAGTTCTTAGGGCTGTTGCTTTGTTAATTCAGCTGCTGCACATGCGCATGAAGCCAATAGGTTAATAGTCCCTACTTAAGATTGTTTTGGATATGGATACACAGAATCTCGTCTTTTCAGTTGGAGCATTTTCCAGTTCAAAGTGGAGTAGTTGGGTTTATTTTCATGAATTTATACATCAGATTGTTTATGGAAACAAATTAAGGCAAGGCTTCAGAGTTAATTTTAGGGTGTATCTTGTGATAATTACTATCCTGATGAAGACTTAATAACCAATCATAAAGGTTTTTAAAATTACTGTTTAAAAATGAGTAAGAGGGCTTGATAATATGGGTGAATGTAGTAACTGCAACGTTGCTCATGTGAAACCTTCATAAGATTATATATCAATGATACCTTAATTTAAAAAAATGAGTAAGATATTAGATTTCTCATTGATTCTTTTTTGTTTTTGTTCCCAGATTAAAGACCCAAAGATGAACTTGTTCATTCATCAAATATTATATTATGAAACTCCCACTTTTTGCCAGGCTCATAGAATTATAACACTATTGTTATACTTGTCACTGTAAGTACAGAGGATATTAGTATTACAAATACCATTATACTGCTTTTAACGTGTTTTGTTTTGAGAATTCCACAAAACCTATCAGTATAAATTGGGTCCTTCTCAATACTTAATTTAAATACAGCCATTTAGATACAATGATCCTTGTAAATATAAGTGAAAAATCTTCAGTATCCTAGTTTTTGACAATCAGCTTTAACTCTTTATAGGGGTAAACATGTTCTCCCTGAAGCATGTCCATGATGGATTACTCAGCCCTGACCATAGTTCTTAGAATGCTAACTGAAATGGTGTGATTGCTGGCTTTTTTCCAGATTTGAAACTGGAGAAAGCCATGGAAGCTGAGTGGTATCATGGAAAGGAGAGAGGCAGTCTCTTAGTTTTCCTCACCTGAAAAGGAAGGAGCCACCAGCTCCAGGCTTGGAGTGAGAATTCTGTTCTCTGAAGGTGGTAAAGAAGCCAGCACAAGGCTTGGCTCGTGACAGTTCCTCCACTGCCCACTCCCTGATTCCCAAGAAATGGGTATCTATAGGGCATTCCCTGTTTATATTCCTCTTCCCATCATGCACGCCGAGGGCCAGGGAAGTTACCTGGTCATTACTTTCTCTGTGCCACCAAAAAGGGGGTTGAGGTTGTGTGTTCAGAACCTCATCCTGTGGGAAATATCTTAAAGATGTTTTAGGTCTAGGGAATACCAGCCTCATTTGCTTATTTGAAGAAGAATAGCAATATTTTAAATATTTCCTACAGTGGAAATCTTCCAAATGTTTTTTACACAAAATCAGCATGGTGGTTCCTCAGCAAAATCAAGTGGCCAGCACATTGAATCCAAAGTTGCAGGTTCTTTTTCAGATAAAGGTCTCAACAGGCAGGGCACAAAGTCTTGTAAAATCAGAGGTTGATGTCCACTGGGCCCCTCATCTTCTCAAATCAAGTGGAAGAAATGAATGAACACAAGCACATTTCAGCTTCCCCTAAACCTCCCTCAGGTGAGATCTAGGCTCCAGTAAGTAGCAAAAGTAGACCACCTGCAAATGAGAGTTTTCCTCTGAAACACAGGCAAGTTCAGAGATTTGAGCTTAAAAATACACCTAGTTCTCCCTCCCATAGCCAACATGTAGTAAATGCTATCTGAAGAAAATTGTCCTTTTACCATAGAGTAGATCTCACAGGAAATGATACTTCTTGGGCTTTATTTACAGAGGATATTAGTATTACAGATACCATTATACTGCTTTTAACGTGTTTTGTGATGAGTATTCCACAAAATCTAGCAGTATAAATTGGGTCCTTCTCTATACTTAATTTAAATACAGCCATTTTTTTCAGATACCCAAGAAAGTTGTTGTTCTGCTTTGGAATGCTGAATACTTTCTGAATTACATTCTGGAAGTTCTACAGGGCCTTACTATTAACACTAGTTAAATGATAAAAGCAAGGACCATCCAGTTGCCTTCTTCCTGTAGATCAGAATGAAAGATTGTGTTAAAAATCCTCTCTCATCACAGGCTGGAAACAAGTAGCACTGGAAAGAATGATTCAGACTAACTTTCTTGTCTTTTAAAAATGTGAACCCCAGATGGGAGAGGGTGTTTTCACGTGCTGTGGTGTGCCTTACACATTGTTGGTGACCAGCAAATGGACTCAGCCATTTATATGGAGGTAATATTTATATGATCTTAGCCAAAAGTCCATACATTTACAGGTCAGTTACTAAACCTTTCTTCAGTGTCCGAATTTTAGATTGGACCCCCATATGCTTGAGTGTCACATATCCTTAAGGAAGAGATACTGGGCATGGTGGTTGGTGGTACTTACACTAAATGTTTCTCTGAGGCATAGTTTTGTATGGTCAATAACATGTGTGCCTTTGGACACATGGGTCTGTTTGGGACTGAGTATCTTCAGAGTCTGATGGGCTTTGGAAATGTGCATAACTGGGAGAAGGATAAAGAGAAGCCAGAAGATATGTCAGTATGTCTCCCCTCTCCCCAAGAGGGGACAAAGAAAGTGCAGGTGGCCATTGGCCCATTGGTGAGTCACTCAAGAATCATTGAAAGGTTGTTTTTCTTTCTCTGTTAATGAGAAAAGCATGATTTTCTTCTGTTGAGAAAGTGTAGGAAGGAGAGAGAAAGAGGAGGACAGTATCCTTGACCACTTTCAGCCTGCACTTGAGTGTTTCACATGTATGACTGTCCTGACTCCGGAATGCCACCGCCCCCCCACCGTCCCTCCTGCCAATGCTGTGTTATTAGTGTTGCTGCCAGATGTGCTGCTGGCCAGAGGGTGGCTGGGGCTGAAGTGCTGGTGGGGCCCATCTTTCCAAGGGCTCATCATTCTTGGTTAGGCAGTGATAAGTGATGGAGGCCACATGCTGGTTTCAGAAGTATGAAAAGATGGAGGTTGTGGGGTGAGGGAATGTTGGCAGGAGACATGTTTAATGTGTGGAATGTGTAAAAACATGGACAGTGGCAATACTGGATGGTGTGGGAGGGAACCTAGAAATCTCCTGAGATACAGAACCTGTGCTGGCACTTGCAACTTCTTCATTTACTAAGAAGTAAACTGAGTAACAAACTCCACACCAAAAAGGTTTCATATCAACATCTCAGGAGCCAGGACTTCAGTTCTTTAATGAGAACTGTCATTTACTTGCCCCTCTGTTGGAGGCCAGTGGGATGACATATTTTGAAACATAGGAATGGTAGGTATACTTGCATGAATAGTACCATAGGCTGTGGATTTTTGCTGTGTGTTCTGCTAAGTCTTTGTTTTTGTTAAGGGTATGTATTTGTTTTTCTTTCTCTTTTATTTCTTTTTCCTTTTTTCTGTAAGCAATACATTCTGTGAAGACTCTTACATCTTCCAGACCAAGTTATTTTAAGGATTTCAGCATTATATGGCAGTATTTTAAAGGTGTTTTTTTCTTTTTTTGCTTTTCAGAGAGAAATTGGTTTCTCATGTATCTTAGGCTATGTCCACAGGAGAATTATGATAATGAATCACTGTTTTGTAATTTTGCTATTTTAAGTTAGTTTTAAATAAAACTATAGCTTTGATCACTGGGAATGTATCCATAAACCTTAGGTGTTATAAATATGTAGAGAGCTTAAAAATAGAGCTGAAATATGAAAATACAATGCTGCAGTAAAGAATCTTTCATAACCTTCAACCTACCCATTAGTCCCAACAAGACAACTTTATACTTCAACCAAAGATATTTAAAAATACATCAGCTTCACTGTGAAGGGGCATGTGGGGGGGACTTGGTGAAGGGAGGAGCCTAGTAAACATAATGTTCTTCATGTAATTGTAGATTAATGATAACAAAATAAAATTAAAAAAAAATACATCAGCTTCCTTAAAAGTGTCCTTACCATATCACTGTTTTTTATTTGAATGATTAACAAAAGCACATTAGTTAGCATGGAAGTAGTATAAGTGTACTTACTCTTTTAATTTAAAAAATTATTTACAAATAATTGCTATCACTATCATATGACTAAGGAACAGAAATTTATATAAAGCTAATTTTAAGATATATGGCTTTACATTAATGTATTTACTCATTTATATATTTAATTAACGTCTATTATATGCCAGATACAGTGCCAGAGTCAGCAAAAAGAGTACTTCCTCAAATCACAACTCCCTAAAATCATGGTTCTTTGTCTGTTTCCCTCCCACCCCAAATATTACCTCTTATTCTGCCTTATTGTGATCAGAGATTTAGATAAATTTTTAAAAATGTTTTATTGAAGTATTGTTAATATATAATTGTTTATTTGTTCCGAATACACAACACAGTGATTCAACAGTTACATATATTATTAAATCCTCATCCCCATTAGTATGGTTACTGTCTGTCAACATAGAAAGATGTTACAGAATCATTGACTCTATTCTCCATGCTGTACTACTATCCCCATAACCAGCTTATATTATGGTTGAGAATTTTTGTGCCCCTTTATCCCTCTTGTCCTCCCTACTGACCCATTCCAGCCCCTCCACCATGGTAACCACTAGTCACCTCTCAGTGTCAATAACTTTGCTGCTGTTTTGTTCATTTTACCTTGTTTTTATATTCCACAAATAAGTAATTCATATGGTATTTGTCTTTCTCCACCTGGCTTATTTCACTGAGCATAATACCCTCTAGATCCACCCATGTTGTTGCCGATGGCAAGATTTCTTTTTTTAATGGCTGAATAATATTCCATTGTGTATATGTACCACATTTTTTAAATTGATGTATCATTGATATACAATCTTATAAAGGTTTTACATGAGCAACATTGTGGTTTCAACATTCACCCATATTATCAAGTCCTCACTGCTCGCCACCCCCAACCATTGCAGTCACTGTCTCTCAGCATAGTACGATGCCATAGAGTCATTGCTTGTCTTCTCTGTGCTTGTACCACATCTTCTTTATCCATTCACCTGTGGATAGGAACTTAAGTTGCTTCTGTATCTTGGCTATTGTAAATAATGCAGCCATTAACACAGGGGTGCATATATCTTTTCAAATCAGGGATTTTTGTTTTCCTTGGGTAAATTCCTAGAATTACGGGTTGAATGGTATTTCTATTTTTAGGTTTTTTGAGGAACCTCCATACTGCTTCCACAGCAGTTAAGCCAATTTACATTCCCACCAACTAGATGAATTTTTAAGATCTTGTAATTCCAATGATGTAATATGTAGTAGGGATGGTTAGAGAAAATAAGAAATTTTAATTACTGGGGACTGTACCAGGGAAATGAATAGACTAGTTCATGTAGACATGGAGGGCTGCTCAGGCTGAACTAAACCCCTGTTGTAATTCAAAAGCCTGAAACTCCACTTTATTGTTAAAATTATTGCCTTAACTTCCTCCCTTTCTTCATTTCCCTATTTCCCTTGCTGGTTTTCCTGTGTACTACCAAGGTACAGCACAGTGGTGTTTAACTACTTCCTGAAGGGATTATTAGTCATCAGGAGCAGGCGTTCATTACAGATA